ACTCGATAATCACATGGATGAGGGCTGTTTGGTGTTACCTTTTTGAATGGTGCGTGAGTACAAGTCAGTGAATCTCATTTAGTTTTCTGTATAAATTTCGTGCGGAATTGAATACTGAGGATAACAGCTGTCGTTCCCTCCCCCACAATGAGAAGATTCTCATGGGAAAAAAAGGAACATGTTCGTTCCAGTGGCCCCCGGAAGTGGCTTGAAATAGATGGAGGGAATTGACAAAAAAAGGACTATGAACCAAGATGAATCAAGTATCGTTCAATGAATGATATACACTTGTCACGATTCACTGAGCAATATTCGAGACACGAAGCTGGGCTTGAGAGCGTTATCATGGCGATCCGTATAACCGCTCGGGTAGTCCAATAAACCGATCACGAGCTTGACCATTTATTTCTGAGTTGTCAAAACGTGAAACTCCGTGCTAATTCACTCCGGCAAAGACCGATGCCAGGATCTAATTGCCTCGATTAGCTCATCAAAGGCTCTTTGTCGTTGCTACCTCTTCCTCGCGTCGTTAATGTTCGGTTCCTCTCGTACAGACTTGGAAGCTAGTAATGCTCAACACTCAAGAACAGTAGTGCAGAATGTATCCTATCTTCGCACTAACGTACGCAAGCACGAGAGATATATCTGCACACATGTTGCCGCTCTCTGCCGCCCAGACTGGCCGAGCATCAAATTGATGTCATCAATACTATTGAGTAAGTAATGTGCTTGCGCGAGTACCATTGAGGATCATCGCCGCGCGAATGGGGAAAATCCAGTTAGAGTTCATAAGTACCTTAGACGGAGAGGGCTCAGCGGAAACTCGCAGTGAGGCGACATTTTGAAAATGCTTTGCATGTCGCTATCGTCTAGTGGTTAGGACGTCACGTTGTGGCCGTGACAACCCCGGTTCAAATCCGGGTAGTGACTATTAACGATTTAAGAAAATCTTGTACGATTCGTTCCTTGTTGTAGTCAACAATGGAATTTGAGATACCGTGGACTCCGCTCAGGATATTGAGTGACGATGACTAGCAATATAGCGCAGCTGTAATGCTTGCAGAGTGCCACGCAGAACGCTCACAGATTCACAAAGCCTGAACTTTGATGTAAATACTTGTTAGCTGAGCAGTGTTGTTTCGAACAGATTACCTCTTTCATGAGTCAGCCTCATCTAAGTTGATTGAACATCCCTTCGGATTCAATGACGAGGGATTCTGCTATAGCGCGAAATACTGTTACGTCCCCGATACCTTTTAAGACACTCTGCCCGATACCCTCTAGAATCAATATTGACTATATTTTTAGCCCTGTATCATCCTCAACAAACCCACGGAACACAACATGAAAGCAAATGTGGATAATTCTACTCTTTTCTTTTACGCAACCTCTTTAATATATTTTATCCTCTCTTCTTATTATCCACAATTATGTTCAGCAAAACCATCAACATGAACACTCTCGCCTTCTAATACGGGGACCACCCCTTGCTGCCGCCCTTTCCCTTGCCCTTGCTGCTCCCTTTACCCTTCGAGCTACCGTACCATCCCCTCCCATAATAACCCTTACCTGGACAACACTGATCCTTCTAAATCATTACAGACCATAACTACCCTTTCCCCATCCTTTACCGCCCTTGGCGTTGTAGCCGGGCAAATTGGTGCGTTTCTGCAACACCTTCAACTGTCGGCCTCGGAACATAGTATCATTCAATAAGAGAGCATTCTGGACCTACAGTGAACGAAATGAATCAACTCGTTAGAGACACCAACCAACTCACTGCAGCTTCATCTCCGAATTCAATGTACGCGAAACCCTTCGGATGCCCACTATACTTATCAACCATTATCGTTATCCTGACACAGAGAACACTTCAACAATAACATAACAAGGCACACAGGGCAGTGCTTCGGACCAACTCGTTTGGAAAATTCTTATTTCCCAGAGTACGACTATATACGACAAAATATTTCTCTCGTAACACTTCTATTATGAAGTGACATTGGATTTTTTTCCTAGAAGTTCTATACCCCATACACCTACACCTGAGCTCAGTTACGCAACTATACCAACATAATC